GTGAGTAAACTCGAATAGATTATCTTTTATCTCTTTTTCGAACGCGTTGCAGGAATAAGGAAAAAAAAAAGAAAAGAAAAGAAACAACAAATATATAAATAAATAAATAAATAAATAAAAAGCACGAGAGAAAAAAGGATGACTCGGACGTTCGCGAAAAAGTCTTTATGCGTGCGAAAGAGAAACAGCGAGACGAAAGAGAGTCGGAGAGTTTATCGCTCGATCGGCTGCCATCTTGTTATTTGTCGTCGAGGTTACGCGTTCGATTCGACGATCCCTTCGTCGTGTTTACGTTCTCGTATTACGTCTCTTTCTCTCTTTTGCTATCTCCGTCGTATTCGCTTTCCCACTCGTCGCAGTTCTCTCTTTTTCATACGCGAGCTCATCCTGTCGTTCCTTTTTTATTTATTTTTTACTTTATTTTTTTTTTATTCCTTATTTTTGTTCTTTGTTTTTTTTTTTTGTTTTTTGTTTTTCTCTTCTCGTAAACTCTCTCTCTCTCTCTCTCTCGCTCGCTAGCGCGCGCGGCTCGAAGCGTGGCTTGACTCTCCTCTTTTTTTTCCTCTCTCTTCTTTCTTTTCTTTTCTTTTCTTTCCTTTCCTTTCCTTTCTCGCTAACTCGCCGAACTTCCAACACGATCGCTCGACTCCGTGGAAGTCCAAAAAAAAGAAGAAAAAAGGAAGGAAAAAACCGTCGAGGCGCGTAGGAGATAAAAAAAGCATTGCTCTTGCATTCTTCCTTTTTTCCACGAGTTCTCTCATCGTGCATATGTACATACATGTATATATACATATAAGTATGTGTGTATGTATGTATGTATAAACACATTCGCACACGTATCTGGCTCATTAGAAAAGTCTAATATCGTATACGATTAGTAAGAGGGGAAAAAAAAAAGTATCGATTACAGCGTTATCGTCTAACGGAGAACAATTTATATTCTTGGATATTATTGCGTTTGCGTGATTTTATTAATTCGTCAACATCGTGGAGAGTTTTTCTTCATTCATATTGATTCGAACGTAACATTTTTCGAAGAAAAAAAGCAACAGAAGAGTGGAAAGAGAAAATATTTCGAGACTACGTCTACGTGCGTGCCTGCGTGCGTGCGTGAGTACGAACGTACTTCGAAAGCAAGCAAAGTCATCGTCATGATCTTACGTCATGACGGCGTAGCGCGACGGAAACTTGGCGAAGGTCGAAGTCGTGTCGGATCGTCTAGCTCGAATGCGCGAGAATATATACGTACGACGTTACAGTAAGTAGTCTCGACTTCTCCCTCTGCTTCTTCCACTCCTTCTAATCCGTTAATATGTATTACAACAATGACAACGACGATACACATCTCGAGAAAGCTTAAAAGATATATAGAAACTTTTGTAGAAGTTTAACGCCTTAAACAAGCTTTATTACGATATTATTTCCTCGGCTTTATCGACTAAGCGATAAGATTAGTAAAGATAGTTTCCTGCAAATCCATAGGTCATACTTATAATATATCGATCGTGTTTCTTCCTCGTTAAAAATATTTTATCTCTCAGAGTATCATCGTTGCCAATATATACGATTTTATTAATCGTTAATTCGTCGTTCGATTCTTCACGATAGAAAGAGATTCATTTAGATTAAGATCATTGACAAAAGTGAAAAACCGAGCTTACGACATCTGCTTCTCCTTCTTAATATCGTATTTATGCGCTAGAGAGTATCTATCTCTCTCGGTAAATTCGTATTTTATTCAAAGAGGAAGGATACCTTAGCTATTTATATATACATCTATCTACCTATCTTAAATTTCGTATTCGTACAGAAATATTTAATTATTTACTCGTCTATTAATAATTTAACGTTAATCGGTTTCCTTAATCGAGACTGTTGAATTATTCAGTTAGGTACTTTGCTTTGGTCCAGTCGTCGTCGTCATCGTCGTCGTCTTTTTCGTCTTCGTCAATAACAACGTTGCGTCCTCGTCGTCATTTCGCTCTTACGATTCTTATCGCGTTAAAAGGTGCCATGTTATTGATCAACGACACGCTTCGCGCAGTGATCGATGCGCAACTTGAACATTTCGTTGAAAACAAAATGAAGAAAGAAAAAAAAATATATATATATATATATATAAAAGGAGAAGAAAGAAGAAAAAAAAAAAACAAAATAACGTCATTTTCGTCGTCTTCTTCGTCAGCGATTGTTTCGCTCGACGACTTCGGTCCGCGCTTGTTCCGCGCTGCTGTTTGCAAACAAAGACTTCTTTGCGCTTTTGTCATGCTCGAGCAACGTCGGTTTCGATTCTTCCGTTTCTCTCAAGGGACCGCGCGCCGAAGTCGTCGATTCCAATATATACTACTCTCATTGCTCGCGATTTACCTACATCATACGTACATATATATATATATGTGTGTGTGTGTGTGTGTGTGTAGAAATCGAGAGATCTTTTGATAAAAATTTCGAAGAGGGTTAAGCACGTGGAAGAATAGACGAGCAATGGTAATCCTATTCGAGAAATCTTTCGAGCAAGGAAAACAATTACGTTTTATCTTCTTTCTTTGGCCTATTCTCGTTAGAGACTTTTCCAGCTCTTTCTCTCTCGCTCTCTCGAGAAAGAGAGAGAGAGAGAGAGAGAGAGAGAGAGAGAGAGAGAGAGAGAGAGAGAGAGAGAGAGAGAGAGAGAGAGAGAGAGAGAGAGCTACTTTATATTTGAGTTTTGTTAAGAATTTATGATACCGACCGACCAATTCATTATCGAGTACTCGAGTATTTCATTTCGACGAAGAGCGATAAGGTTCGTCGATATATGCGTTGGTGAGTCACGCGCACGCGTCGTTGCGTGAAATTTAATTTTTCTAGGAAATTATTTTTTACTTTAGTACTTCTTCTCGTAGTTTTCTCTTTCTCTCTTTCGATTACAACGCGTTAATTCTTCCTCTTCTCCTTTCAGTTCGTTCCCTTCCCCTTTTGTAATTTCGTAGTCACCCTTTTTGCCTAGATCTCCTCTTCCCTTAGGAAGTTTCCAAGCGGATTTAACGACGGTTCGCGCGTCTCGACTGAGCGGCTACCTTCTCTACCATCTAGAAAACTTTTCTGGATGAGATTCAAGCGTGGAAACTCGAACGAGCATAGACGGAAGAGCGAGAAAGAGAGAGAGAACGTGTCGTTTAGAGTGACTCATCGTTTGTCCGGCCTTTGTTAATGATTTAAAGGAAAAAAAACAAAAAAAAAAAACAAAAAAAAAACAAAAAGGGAATGAAAGGAAAACGAATCATCGTTAATTAAGACGATTATCAAAATCGTTAACGGAATACTCTATTCCACTAGAAAGTCCTTTTCGTAAACGAATAATCTCGAACAATTAGACAAAAGTTAATTCGAAGCTTTCGCTCCGAGAATCGGAGTCAAATCGAATCGAATCGAATCGAATCGAATGGAATTTGCTCGTGTCGTTCGACGACGACGCTGCAATTTGCCCGTGACAGCCGTAGGCAGTTTGTTCTATCCGTGGATTTTAACATACGCATTTAACAACCAATGAATCATCCGTTCATTCTTTTACAAACATTTTTATTCACTTCCGACGCAATATTTTTTATATTTTTCACGATTAATAAATATGTCTTATTCATTGGATGTATCTCGATTATCGTGAAAGGGTCGGCTTGTTGTAGTACGATTAAAGGAAAGTTACATGAGAGAAGGTAAGGTATATTTCAAAGGCGTAGGAGAAGGACAAGAAGGAGAGGGAAAGGTGTGTGTGTTTCTCTCTCTGTATGCGCGTATACATATAAACTAGTGTAGTAGTATTAGTAGTAGTTCGCTGTATAATTATTCGCAAAGCGTAGCTATTTGCAAGCAAATTAATCGCGAGGCGTTCCAGTAACCTTATTACTAGTACGCTCTCGCTTCTCCCTTCTCTCTCTCTCTCTCCTCTCTCTCTCTCTCTCTCTCTCTCTCTCTCTCTCTCTCTCTCTCTCTCTCTTTCTCTTTGCTGTGCTCCAAGAAGCGAGAATCCGTGCGTGGACGAGACCACAGGAAACTCTCTCAGTCTGCTGCCAACCGTTTATCGATTCATTACGTCGGCTATATACGTAGAAACACACACATATATATGTACAAGTTCACATAAATCGTCGTTACGTCTCCTTTCGTTCGTTCGTTCGTTCGTTCGTTCGTTCGTTCGAGAGAGAGAGAGAGAGAGAGAAGGAAATTAGTTTACGTATCCTGCTCGATAAGCATGTACAAAATTGTGTAGGATTTACGGTAACGGTCGAACGATTTAATTTTCCAATTTTCTCGATAAATCTAAGACTCGTTTAATATCGATTAAACGCGCCAAGTCGAAAGGGAGAGGGCGATTATTCGATAAATTCGCGAATAATATACTTTCGCATGATGCACGCGACAACGAGACATCGATCGTCTTTCGGATAAGGTCGACGCGTGACCATGGTGTTGTACAGACTCGTGATTTATGACCAAAGCTGTAGTAAGTTCTCTTCCTTCCTTAAAAGAGACGAAGCTTCGCTGTTAAGCATATAAAGTCTCCTCCTCCTCCTCCTCCTCCTCCTCCTCCTCTTCTAAAGGATATATCCATTTTGAAATCCTTCGTGTTCCATAATATCCTTCCTTTCCTTTCCTTTCTTCGTTCAACTTTCTTCTATTATTATCTATCTCTCTGTCTATATTTATCTATCTCGCGATACAACGCGTATAGGCACATATAATACGTATTATAATATTGTACGATAACGCTAATTATATTTATGAGATGAAAATATATGAGAGAAATGAAACGATTGAAATAAAATGCTATTATAGTTCGGTATAATGGAAATAAAGGAGAGGAGGAACTCGAGGAGGGAATTGAGAGCTAAGAGAGCAGGCAGACTGGGTGTTAGCCAAGGAACACACGAGCCAACCCGCCGTATATACGTATCGATGGATCGTGAAAGAATGTGCGTGTACCGAGGAGAAATCGTTGCGCTCACGGTTCTACACGCGTGTGT